TTCTGTCTCCATTGCAGGTCGCTGGTGCTGACGACGCTGTCTGTACTGACCGGGACTCTCCTAGTTTTAATTTTCGGACAACTTGTCCATATGGGTTCTGTTGTTAATGCAACAATTTCCACCATCAGTGTGGTGGTCTACTTCTGCTGCTTTGTCATGGGGTTTGGACCAATTCCTAACATTCTTTGCTCCGAGATCTTCCCCACTTGCGTTCGCGGCCTCTGCATCGCCATATGCGCCCTCACATTTTGGATTGGAGACATCATTGTCACTTACACATTGCCTATCATGCTCACCTCCATTGGTCTTGCTGGTGTCTTTGCCATCTATGCTGTTGGTGTGCGCCATTTCTTGGGTGTTTGTGTTCTTGAAGGTGCCGGAAACAGAGGGCATGCCCCTTGAATTCATCTCTGAGTTCTTTTCTGTGGGTGCAAAGCAGGTAGATATTGCTGAGAGGTTGACTTAGCAGTCAAGAAAATTGATGTTGCTGTTTTGATTTCTGTTCTTTGTCTTACGTAGAGGGAAATTGATGATGCTGTTTTGAGTTCTGTTCTATGTTGTTATATACACCTCGGACTCCCTTCTATTGTGGGTCTGTTGGGCTGAAGATTTTAGGGCCACCATTGTTCCTTTGTTCTTCTTTGGGTTTCGGTTTTCGGTCCGCTCCGCTAGCAACCAAAAAAATAAAATAAAAATCTTGATGCTCGTCGGGTGCCAGATAAATTACAGAAGGTTGAGAACATTCTTTGGATGATACGTTCTCGCTGAATTCATGACCTTAAACTCACTGCAAGGTGTAAAAAGGCTTTCTTCTTTTTTCTTTCTGTAATTGCACCGTTGGTTAGTGGTCCACTATATATATATATATAAAAGGAAGCTAGATTAAATTTCCAGATATTAATTCATGTACATTCATCTGTTCATATCTGTTGACTATATCACTTACCTATTTGGTAGAATTAATTACATAATTGTTACAACAATATAAAGTAATTTTCTCTAGCCAGACTGTAACACAAAATCAAAACAATACCAAGTATGTATATTTCTAGAACCATCAGAAGTTGTGGTCACTCTTATTCATTGTCTGTCTCCTCCAAAATTCAAAAATCTAATGGGAAGCACAAGATCTGCTGCAAACCAAGTTCCTCAGCCATGGTTATATTTGACATGTGGCTTTACCTTCTTCACATTTCGAGAGCCATGCTAACAGGTAGTGTTTTTCTTTTGCAATTTCAAAATACAACCAATCAACGACAAATAGATTTTTAACATACAGAATCCAACTTGTTTTATTCAAAATTCAAATTTCATGACATTTCTTCTGGTAATCAAATTTGCATTACATGTTTACCACGCCTGCTTTGGAAGGTCTCTATACTCATCACCTCTGTCTACTGTTATATTGGTTTTGACATGTTTCAGAAGTTACTTTGAAGTTCAATGTGCATGGATATTAACACCATCAAGATATGCTTGTGCTTTCTATTTGTTTCCTGAAAGTGATTGTTTGGCTTGTTTTTTTATTCATATAGCAATGATGTTATTGCCATCTTTATGCAGATTTGGTGACTGCCAGTGGGAAACACAGCACTGCCCTCTAAGTCTTTGTACTAATACATAATCTAAGAAAAGGTTCAGCAATTCTTGCACTGTGATCTGAATCCTCTTTTGGATTTCGAAAATAGTACTTGGTCACTGAAGAAAAAAATGAGGGGAGCTGTGTTTGTCGCGGTTGCTGCAGCAGTTGGGAATTTGTTGCAAGGATGGGATAATTCAGTCATTGCAGGCAAGTACCATAAATTTATGTTTTCTGTGTTTAATTCATTTATCTCTGCCACAATGTCCATTTTTCAGAAGCATAAGAAAGGGGTTATGTTAATAATTCTGCTTTGTTACACAAAAATGTTGCAGGGTCTGTTCATTATATCAAAAAGGAATTTGAATTGGAAAGTCAACCAACATTTGAGGGGCTAATTGTAGCCACATCCCTTATTGGAGCTACTTTCATAACAACATTCTCTGGACCGGCATCAGACTGGCTAGGACGGCGTACGATGCTAATCATTTCATCTGTTCTTTTCTTCATTAGTGGTCTGGTAATGTTGTTGTCTCCCAATGTTTATGTCTTACTTTTTGCGAGGCTATTGGATGGATTTGGAACTGGTCTGGCTGTTACTCTTGTTCCTGCCTATATATCTGAGATAGCACCGCCAGATATAAGAGGAACATTGAATACCCTTCCACAGTTCACTGGCTCTGGTGGGATGTTCTTGTCCTACTGCATGGTGTTTGGAATGTCACTGATGGATTCACCAAGCTGGAGATTGATGCTAGGGGTTGTTTCCATTCCATCACTAGTTTATTTTTCTTTGGCTGTGTTTTACCTGCCTGAATCCCCTAGGTGGCTTGTGAGTAAGGGTCGAATTCTCGAAGCCAAACAAGTTCTGCAAAGACTTAATGGCAGGGAAGATGTTTCAGGTGCCTAAGTTGGTCTTCTTTTTTGTTCCCATTTCCTTCATGTAATTGATATTTTAGAGCTAAGTCTGAGTCTGAGGCTTTTATGATCTACAGGTGAGTTGACTTTGCTAGTTGAGGGTCTTAGCACTGGCAGAGAGACGACATTGGAAGAGTACATTATAAGTCCAGCCAACTTGCTTACCAATAACCAGGCAACAACTGAAGAGAAAGATCAAATGAGATTGTATGGTCCGGAAGAGAGCTTGTCATATATAGCCAAACCTGTAACTGGACAGAGTTTAACATCTCACCATGGCAGTGCGGCAAACCAAAGCATCCCTCTTATGGATCCTCTTGTCACTCTCTTTGGTAGTGTCCATGAGAAGCTCTCTGAGAGAGGAAGCAAGGGAAGCATGTACTATCCTAATCTGGGCAGTATTTTGAACGCAGGGGAGTATCATGACAAAAATGATCACTGGGACATGGAGAGCCAAACGGATGGTGAGGACCACGAATCTGAAGCACCCCGGGTTTATTGTGATGACACTTTGAGAAGTCCATTGATCTCACGCCAAACAACAAGCATGGACAAGGACATAAGCACGCCTAGGTCTGGCGGTAGTGTTTTAGGTGTGAGATGCAATACCATCCTGATGCAAGGTAATATTGAAGCGGCTGAAGCAGGCAATGGCAGTAGTATGGATATAGGTGGAGGTTGGCAGCTGGCTTATAAGTATTCCGAGCAGGTAGGTGAAGATGGGAAGAAGGAAGGAGGATATCAAAGAGTCTATTTGCACCAGGAGAGTGGACTTGGATCTCAGCCTGCATCAGTTGTTTCAATTGGTGTAAGGCAAGAAAGTGAACTCATTCAAGCTGCTGGTCTGGTTAGCCAGCCTGCTGTTTCTGCCAAGGATCCGACAAGTCTACGTTCTGTTGGCCCAGAAATGGTTCCTACATCAGAAACTGCTGTTAAAGGTCCAAAATGGGGAGACCTTTTGGAACCAGGAGTCAAGCGTGCATTGATTGTTGGGATTGGACTTCAAATTCTTCAGCAGGTAAAATTTAACCTTATGTTGCAGTAGTGATTTGGTAAGAGCTTTTCTTGTTCAATTTGACCTGATGGGCAGCTGTTTTGTTTTTCAGCCTTCTTATGCCTTTTCTTTTCACCTCTGCAGGTTGCTGGCATAAATGGGGTTCTCTACTACACTCCTCAGGTTTACGAGCAAGCGGGCGTAGCAGTTCTTCTGTCTAACATAGGGATGAATTCAACCTCTGCATCTCTCTTTTTAAGTTCCATCACAACATTTTTAATGCTTCCTTGCATAGCTACTTCCATGTGGCTAATGGATAAAGCTGGCAGAAGGTAAACTCTCATTCTAATACCATTGAATTTCAGACAACCTATTTTCTTATCAAATACATTGCAACTTTAGAATCTGAGTCATGCCACTGAACCCGAAATCGATATGAACAGAAGAAGCTTTCCTTTGTCTTTCTTCTTGTGTAGGTCACTGCTGCTATCCACAATACCAATCCTGATATTGTCCCTCGCTTTACTGGTGTTTGTCAACATTGTCAACTTGGGCAGTATTCTCAATGCAACAATATCCACTGCTAGTGTTGTGGTTTACCTCTGCTGCTTTGTCATGGCTTTCGGAGTGATCCCGAACATTCTTTGCGCAGAGATCTTCCCTACTCGCGTCCGTGGCCTCTGCATTGCCATTTGTGCCCTCACTTTTTGGATTGGAGACATCATCATCACATACTCATTTCCCGTGATGCTTTCCTCCATTGGCTTTGCTGGTGTCTTTGGAATCTATGTTGCTGGGTGCATAATTGCCTGGTTTTTTGTTTACTTGAAGGTGCCTGAGACCAAGGGCATGCCTCTAGAAGTCATCTCTGACTTCTTCGCAGCTGGTGTGAAACAAGCTGCTGATGCTTCCAGCTAGAACTGATTTGATTGTCCACAAGTGGAATTATGAGGGCAGAATTTGAGTCTTTTTGTGGAAAAGATTTTGTGTTCATCAATTGTCTTTGATACTATCCCTCTCTTAATGCTGCTGCACAAGCATTTTGATACCAAAAATCAATCCTCCCCTCAGGTCATAGGGTCACATGTAATTTTTTTTTTTATAAAAAAATTATTCATATTTGCAGGCTTATAAGGTAAGTGTTTTAAGTTGAATACTATTCAGATCTGCTGTCAAAATGTCAAAATTAGATCCTTGTTTGATGTTTATACTTTATAAGAAATAAGAAAGTATCTATCGTCGTTATTAATCGTATCGTAATCTGATTAATGCATCTATATTTTACAATTAAAACCCTTATAACAGGAATTAAAAACTGTGTATAATTCAAATGATAGCAAATTTAACAAATCCCTAAAAACATAAAAGAAGTCACAAAATGGGAAAATGAAAGCAAAAACAAAGAGAAATGTTGTCAAAATTCAATTACTCAAGCGTGACACTAATTCAACAAGTTTATAATTCGTATTATCAACAAAAAGAACTTTCAACAAAAAAAAGAAAAAAGCATGAGATAATGTGTCCGGGCCAACCAAAAAAGAAAAGAGTCCGTTTTCTGTTTTAACTCGGGGCCCAGGCCGATCATGCTGCCGCGTAGCACTAGCAATAGGAACGCTGTTCAGAGAAAAATTTAGTGTATCGTCGTCTTCGTCTTCATCAAATTGAGGTAGAATTAGGGTTTTAGATCTGATACTTATCGGAATCTGAAAGTAGTCAAAGAAATGGAAGGTCAAGTAAAGGAAGGAGACTCTCTGGAGAAGAGGCCTGGCATCTTCTTCCTCGGCTCCCCCAACGTCGGCAAGCGCACTATGCTTTCTCGTAAGCCCTCTCTCTCTCTGTCTCTCTCTTGCCTTTACTGATATGAGTGGTATTAAATTCATGATTTGTTGATCTTAGGATTACTGGCTTTGGATTTTGATGATGCTTCTGATTCTTCTTCATCTCAGCTCGTAGTTAATGGGTATGTAAATTTTACATCTTTGGAACAAAGATTTCATTTTTAATTCTTTCGAAATGTGAATTTTACAATGAATTTATTTTTCATTTTTTAAAAAATAGGTGGAATATTTCTACAAAGTACTACACAGCTGATGTTTCTGTATGGATGGCTCATCTTCATGATGAATTTTCCATTGAGACCCTCCCAATGTATGACCAGTTGCAAGCCTTGATCTTGGTCTTTGACACCACTGAGGTTTGGTCTCTTGCCACTCACTCTTTTTCACTTTGTTTAGCTATTTAGCTTTTTAGCATGATTTGTTGATGCAGTCTTATATTGATTTGCTAACATTATGTGCAGTTGTCGTCTCTGGCTGCACTTCAGAAATGGGTATCTCGCACTGATCTTCAAAAATTTGATATACTATTATGCATAGGGAACAAGGTCGATCTTGTTCCGGGTCACCCTGTTCATGCTGAATATAGAAGACGCCTGCTGAAGCTTGGAGATCCATTTGCTGATTCCGGTCCAGGGTTCACTGAGTATGGAATCTCCGAAACTGAAGGAAGTAGTTTACTGGGGGATGACGAACCATCTTGGGAGGCTAGGCAGTCGTGTTTGGAATGGTGCACTGAGCATAACATTGAGTACATTGAAGCTTGTGCTTCAAATGTTGATTTTGACAAATGTAAGGCGGCCTTTCTTGTTGACTATATCTTGTAGCAATATTTACCCTTTATTTATGATTGACAATAAGTGCAAAGTTTTAATGATTGTGATAGAACAAGTTATAGCAAACTAGAGAACTGGGTCTATTCACTAAGTCACGTACCATGAGAAATGAGTCTTTGTATGACAGAGCAGTTTAGGGAGAAGTAGGATTTTCTCATCATGTATATCAGTAAGAATTTATACAGTGATTATTCCTTGAGTTCTCATGTCAGTTTCAATATTAAAAAGGAAAATTGTTACCTTGAGAAAATTAATAGTAGTTAAATCAAATAAAAGGAACATGTTGATTGTACTGTACACCACATATACTTTTTTTTGGGTATCTTTTGAGATAAAGATTTTCACAGGTTTGTCAGTTGATGGCGATTCACAAGGTGTTGAACGACTCTTTGGTGCTCTTTCTGCACATATGTGGCCTGGAATGATTCTGAAATCAGGCGATAAGATTGCTGAACCGTCGTTACCTGAAAGAGAAGAAGGTTTTATATTATACCACATCCATTTGGTTTATAACCTATACGTACTTTTAAGTAGAATGATAAATGTTTGCATTCTCTCTGCTAGACTTGTCAGAAGAAGAATCTGATTATGAATTTGAGTATGAAATCCTATCTGCGGGTTCAGCTGAACCACATGAAGACACGTATACAGGATGGGTTTCTGCAAATGATTTTGCCGGACCCTCAAGTATGAGAGGACTGGCTGCTCAAAATAATCTTTTCCCAGAATGCAATCAAGAGAATGGAACCCTTTGTGATCATGAGGAGCCACAGACCTCAACCTCGACAGCTGCGTTGCATGATGATATCAACAAAGGAGTGGTGTCCAATGCAGAAGAGCCTGACCAGGGCACAGAACTTGACCAAGCCCAGGAACTAGATGAGGATACCCCTCTTGAAGTTGAGGATTTGGAGCAGTTGATGTCTGAGATTGGGAACATGCGCGACAGCTTGAGATTGATGCCAGATTTTCAGAGAAGAGAAATGGCTGCAAAGCTGGCTTTGAAAATGGCCTCCATGTTTGGGGGCAGCAGTGATGATGAAGTGGAAAGTATCAGCTGAGTAAGGGATATCCGTATTAATGGAAAGAAAAAGGTAGATGAGCTTTTTGGAAATATTTTGTGCTTCGTTTGCTCAGTTCTTCTCTTGTGCCGCACATGGAGATTCAGAAGTCTCTTTTTTTTTTTGGTGGGGTCAATACCCATTAACTGTGCTCAATCCTTTATAGTGGTAAGAAACTTTTGTTTTTATTCAACCATTGAAAATGTTAGGTTGTACTTCACATGTGGGAGGGTGACATTTGTGTAGGAGCACAATTAGCTGTGGTGTGATGATGCAAAACTTTGATATGTAAACCAAAATATATGAATTAGATATTTTTAGTGATTGCTGCAATTCGTACTTCTATGAGTGCCAATTTGGTGCTAAGGTTTAGTGCCCTTTTGATCATGGATACCAGGAATAAGTAACAAAAAGTACAGCTACTGCTTTTTAAGGTTTTCTATTGAGGAGTGAGATATTTTGGTTTCTTTACAAAGCTTCTTGAACATTTTTAAACCTAAAGCACCCAGCTAGTGTTTACTTGTTACTTTATTCCTAATGACATCTTTTGACGGACATGTAGATGGAATCTTATAAAGCTAACGGTAGGCCCTATTGTAATAAGTTAGTAACCCAAATTGCCTGAAGAAAATAAAAAATGTCCACACTCGGGTAAGATTAACCTATAAGAATTTTAAGAATTTTGTTTTGTTTTTTTTCTACAAAGAGATATTCTAAACAAACTCTAATGTACGGGATGGAGACACTGTCTTGGCCAATTGGTTTAACTCATATCGGCTAGAGTTTTGTGTTGTTTGTTAGGATTGTTATTGTTGGTATTGTTTGCTTGGGGATAACAAGAAGGTAGGATGCTGTAAAACCAGAGAGTTGCCAAACTTGACCCTTCCATTTTCTTATTTATTGTCAACCAGAAAGGAGGTGTGAGAGTTTTGGGCGCAGGAGTTGTCAAGCTGTTATTAGGCGGGAGTTTGGGAGTGGTAGGGGAAAGTGGGCAGAAGAGTAGGATTTTAGGGGCTGGCTTATATTAGGCTTTTGACTGATTATCAACCGTGTAACATGGTTTGAAATACTGGAGTGGCTTTGAGCGGCGGATCGGATCCTTATTAATATTTGATAATAATAATAATAATAATATTCACATAGGACAAGTTTGTGCCTAGCTTAGTGCTCTTTTAATCATGGTGGCTACCATACCACAAGGAAATAAGTAAGAAATATCGGCGATTGCTTTTTAATACCATTTGCCAAGTGAGATCCTTTTGAAAGAAATGTTTTCAGTGACCTAAAAGCACGTTTTAGGCTCGAAATATCTTTATTCTTGAACGATAACTTTGAATTATATGGCATGTGGGTCCTTGATACATTTCTCTTTTATCTTCAATATGGGCCAGTTTGAGATTGCTGTCGCTCTTTAAAAAACCTAAATTTACTTGAAGGCTACTAGAAGGTGCCGGGGGGATAAAACCTAGTTGCCACTTTTTATTATTTTAAATGAAAGGATTGACTTCTGTTTACTCTAAGATCTGTAAGCCTAGATTGGAAAAACAGGTAAAGGTAGTGGAAATCCAGCTTAAAGTTTAGGCTCAAAATCAAAAGGGTTTGAAGAGTATCTTTTCTTCCCCATTCACTCTGACCCAGATGCTTGTGCTTGAAGAAATTCTAGTAGCATCAATAAAACACAAACACACTAAACCTTGTCATGATTCTGTTGGTTCTGCTTTTTTAACAATGGATGGTTTTGAGATGTTAGCGTCAATAGCACTCAAAGTTCCCAAAGAGTGCTTCAAAAAAGCTCAACAACAAAAAAAAACTATTAAAATCCCAAACAAGCGCAAGCAATGGCTGTGCTTCAAAGTCCCAACCAACGAACCAGCTGACCTATCTCTAAGTTAGGCCACAAAACCCTTTCTTTTCTTTTTATTCAATTCTCCAACCTCCCATCATCTATGACCCCATTGACTCTTTTGGTCACTTTAAGCAACATGGAAATCATTTATAAAATTGCCCACTTTACATAATTAGATATTACTTTGGAATCATGCAATGCAACCTCTTTTTGTAATTTCATTCACTTCAGAACCAGACAAGTGGGAGACTGGGGGAGGAAAACTTAGCACAACTGCTGCATTGGCGTCAGATTGGTGTCAGTTGGCAGATTGCAGATGAACAAAGAAGATGAAGATGATCCATTCATTTTCGCTATACACAAAAGAGTGGAAGGAAATACAAATTGAGGAAAAGGGTAGTTAATTAAAGAAATAATAAAACGCGGGTTTCGCTAATTAGGAGTGATTAAGGCAGATAACTATTACTATTAACAGCAGTGGTAGTTGTTGTATTAGAAGAAGAATTAGTACTAATAGCATTGGCTGCAGGAGGAGGAGGAGGAGGAGGAGAAGCTGGATGGTTGCTGCTGCTATGGTCTTGGCGCGCCTTGAGCTCCGCTTCAGAAATGGGAGCCGGGAACTGGCCGCACTTCTGGCAGCGAGCCACCACCAGGATCTGCCGGCACGACGGGCACGACGAGTGGGACCCAAGCCACATGTCCACGCATCCGACGTGGAAGACGTGGCCGCACTGCGGCAAAACCCTGATCTCATCTCCCTCCGCGAACTCGCCCAAGCAGATGGCGCACTCCGAAGCCAGCTTGGGCGGCGGCTCGGCCCCGCCGATGCCGTACGTGAACTTGGGGAGCGACTGGAG